GAAAGAGGGTCTTAAATTTTCTGTGACATAATTTAATCCCAAGAGTTTTTATGATTTTTATAACGATAAAAGAATATTGCTTAGTGGCTAAAACTTTTATAGCTTAACTTTTCATAACTACTTCCACATCAAAAAAATTTCAGGTCATTAGTGACTGCAGTGCTAGTTGTACTTCTGTAGCAGCTTTGTTAGTGTTTGTTATTCATAAACTTCCAAGCTCCTATAGAGGAGAAGAGTAAAAGGCTCAGAAGTATGGAGTATTTCAGTGATAAAATCACAAGATTAAATCTCAATGTTTTAAAAAGCAGGTCAAAGTTTTTCATGTTATGTGCCCTGGAAAAACGTGTGCTTATAGTTGCTCATGAACATGCTTTTAGGGCACAGGACTGAAAATGCATCCCCAAGTGTTCATTCAAGTTCATTGACAGCTAGTGCTGAAAACAGGAAAATGTTTTTTTTAAATTGTTACTTCATTATGGAGAGATACAAAAAGACAGGCTTTGTAGCTGTAAGTTGAGGAACGAATACTTACAGCATAGATCATGCTGCTGTTTGTAAAATCTACAAAAGATGTCTGGAATTGTCTGTATCTGGGGCTTTAAAAATGAGAAAGCAAGGTAATGATCTGAGATGATGGCTTTGTTATTTTCCTGACTGTATATTTTCATATGTTTTTCTAACCATCTGTGTATGCAGAGGCTTACCTTGCCCATATTTCTGGTCAGGGGAGCATGCGTATGTTTAGTATTAGATAAAGAACTGTGGAATGTGAGAGCTGATGTATTCACCTACTACATATGCAAGAGTGTTGTGTAGATTTTTTTTTGTTTGCTTTGTTTTTTTTTTTCACCAGAAGCATGTAGATGTGTCTTTTGTAACTCATGTGGAACTAACACTTGATTTTCTTTTTTTTTTTCTTTTTTTTTTCTTTTTTTTTTTTTTTTTTTTTTTTGGTTTCAGTTTCTAAATGATTTTAGCAGTGGAAGTTGTGAACTTCAGAAACCTAAAGAAATCATCATGAAGCTATATGTATTTTTGGTCAACACTGGAACTACCCTTACCTTTGATACGGAACTTGCTGTACAAAAGTAAGAAAGTAAAGTAGTCGTGTATTGCTTAAAATTAAAATAAAGTATAAATACTTTTTTGAATACTGAGTTCAGGAGAGATGATATTCAGTTAATTTTTACATGTAGTTGTCTTCTAGGTTTTCATGTATTTGAGTGAATTTGGGTTTTTTTAATTTTTTTTTTTTTTTTAATTAGCATGTTCGGTGGCTTGCAGGTGACTGTGTGTGTTTGAGGTCCCACAGAAGAGCAGAGAGGTTGTTTACTTTCTGAGGCAGTGTCAGAGCATGGCCTCCTCTTAGCTGAGGCTGGTGTTACATTTGGTGCTTTTTTGGGAAAAAAATGTCAGAATGACTCCTGCTCTTCTGTGACCTTTTATTTAGGATTCCTCTGTAGAAGGTTTATTTTTTTCCTGACTGGCATCACAGAAGGAATCCTGCAGATAGCTCTTTCTCCTGTCAGTATACATTCATCCTGAGGAAAATGTACACTCTAATATTTTTAGATCACATGCTAAAGAACCAGCATATAGGTTTTTGTCCCATATCGAGGATGGTTAAAAGTTGCTTCTGTTGCATGTTGTAAGGCTCCAAAATGTTTTACAGCATTTTGTATATAAAACATGAACTTCTGAATGCCCAACTGCCTGAAACGTGAGCAGTGTTACAGAATCACATTTAAGTCCCAGCAACTTTGCTATTTTTTTTTTTCACTGCATATTAAAAGCATCTCTCTTTTAGAAAGGTCTAGATATACTAGGTGTGTCCTTTTTTTCTTGTTCTCATGTGGGACTCTGATCTAATAAGTAAATAACGTATTGTGATAGTCCATACATCTTGGAGCTAGCAAGGGCCAAGCTTACCTGCTGTATTCATATTCTATTAGTGATGAATGAGTTGCAAGTAATTGTGCTAGAAAGACTTCTACCATGTTTTTTGTGCTCAAATCCATTGAATCCCTCTTTGTAATTTTCATGATTCAACAAATGAATCTGGATTTTGAAACCTGTTTGGGGTGGAAGGACACTAACAGTGTCTCTGCTGTATGCTCTTCTGCAAAGTCTACTGACACTCAGCATGTAACAGTGTTTCATCTAAACCATTCTGGATCTACTGGGTCATTTGCAGATGTACCAGCACTCCATATGGTGTCCGGTACAGTGAGATACTCTGTTCCTAAATCATGGTGAGTGAGGTACAGCATCTGAACTACCAGACCAGGCATCTAATAGTCTGGTACAGGCTGACTTTTGCTCAGTTGGATAGTTCTTTGAGAAAGAAGCTTTCCAGTAGCTGAACCACACAAAATTGAAGACTCTTCAGTTGAACAGTTTAACTTCTTATTCTCTATATTTGTATATATATGCTCTTCCTAGCAAGACTGTTTCCTGGGTTCTTTGCCTGTCTCTTGGAAGGGCCAGGCTATCTTCCCGAAGACCATGGAAGTGATAGGTGAATGCTTACTGTAACGCAGCTAGCGAGAAAAAACTTGTGCTCATGAGATGTTTGTAGTGAATTCATGATGTCATATCGAATCATGGTTATTTTAGATAATTTATCTTTTTTTCAAGTACCATATAGCCAATTATATCAAAACCATTGATGCTTATGTAGATTATTCACTTGATACTATGAAGCTTTTTAATATCTTTGCACAGGCACTACCCCAGTGTGTTATAGTTTGGGTCAGTTACTGTATCATAATAGTAAATTTTTGTTTAGTTTATTGTTTGTCTGTATCTTCCAAGACAAAGTCTAGAATTGCCTAAAATAAGCAGTAACATGAAGATGTCATCACCGAGAATTAAAGGTACAAGGATGGTAAATTAAAACAGGGATTGCTTATTGATCTGCTTTTTCTGCTTTAAGTGTGTCTGTAATGTTTTTATGAATTCGTTGCATATGGATTGTTTAATTTCCTATTAACAGCTCTATGTTACTTCACAAGCAGTGAATCAGAATTGATTAGGTGAAATTGTGTTACACATAATGAAGGGTTAATACTCTTGTTGTCATCTTTTAGGGCTTCAGTAAGTCAGCTCTGTGTTCATGAAGTATAAATTCAAAGAACATAATATGGATTATACAGTTACTATCCTAAAAGCATAATGTGATGTAATCTAGAATTTCTGCATGGTGTCGGATCTTCTTGGAGAAAGATTGCTGATAAGTTACCAGTAATGTAGAGGCTGTCTTCTTTTGGCCGATAGCTTATTAGCTGGATGTCCAGAATGCAACACATTATAACACTTACAAAACTTAAATATGTCATTGGGCAGAATAAAATGCAGTAGTCCTTTAGAAAAAAGTTCTGCTTCAACACAGACAAGTCACTTCTCTCGATTACAGGAATATGTAACATTAGAGGCACAAATCTGCTGATAATGTCCTCTTCTCTTCCCATTTTTTTTTTTTTTTTCTTTTTTCCCAGTGTGGCAGATCTGAAACATGCAATTCAAACAAAGTATAAGATTGCCATTCAGCACCAAGTACTGGTTGTCAATGGAGGAGAGTGTATGGCACCAGACAGAAAAGTGTGTAGTTACAGTGCTGGAACAGTAAGTGCATACTGCATTCTTCATCTAAACTGTCAGTTATAGGGGAAGGAAAGGATGTTTTACTGAGGGATTTTAAGTATTTTTCTGTAGTGTATTGATTGCTGTATTTCCTTGCACTGAGAAACAGATGTTTATGTATTCAGCTTATATGTGTAGATCTTAACATAATCCTTAAGACACTTTACCCACATGATGAGGTAATAGGTGGTTGAACAGTATGTTGCTTTTACTCAGTGTTTGTTTTCATTTTCTTCTTGAGTGTAGGATACCAACCCAATATTTTTATTCAACAAAGAAATGATCTTGTGTGAACGTCCACCAGCTATCCCCAAAACTACATTTTCAGCAGAGAATGAGATGGAATTGAAAGTAGAAGAATCTCTCATGATGCCTGCGGTGTTTCATACGGTTGCGTCACGGACACAACTTGCAGTGGTAAGTAAATTCTTACTGTACTTGCACAGAAGGAAAATAACTTTTTTTTTTTATGTCAGAGGGAAAGCTTTATATAAATTATAAAATAGTTTGTTCAAAAGACAGTAAGGATGGCGTATTAGTGATGATGTATTCTTCAGAGCCTTTGTCTTGGAGGATTCAAGGTAGGTATTGAAATGTGCTTGCTGCTTCAGCATGTTCAAAGCTTCTTTCAAAAGTGTACTGTATGTAATACAGCTTTTATGGATGCTTATGTTTACAGCACTTGCAAAATGAAAGCAATCTGTTTGCTTTGGATCTGTGCCTTAATGCTTTGCCTTATTTTCAGTGTCTTCAGTCTGCCTCAACCTGAAAACAGAAAAGTTATGTTGCAAGTGTTGTTAACCCAAGTAGAAAATTTTTAAAAGCTCCTTGCCAAGCTTCTGTTTCATCTGATGTCAAAACAGCTCCTGAGGAATTAATAAAATTAAGCTTCCATTTCCTAAAATTCAGGTCTCTTACTGTTGACTGCTGGCTTTTAGTTACATAGAAACAAACTTGTCAGAATTCCGATTTGATTACTTCTGTATTATTTTGGTAGGGGGAAATAGTTCCCTGCAACGTGGTCAGTAAGGTACAGAGTGTGCATGCAATAGGAGCAGCTGCTTGTTCGAAAGAGTGACAGAATGCCTTCAGTACTGGACTGATTGCTTTTCTTTATGTTAGGAAATACCGCCCTCATTTTCTTTTAAAATTTTGCATTTAAATGTGTTAAATTTTGTCACATCTGAACTCCCAATGGCTGGGAAGTGAGGAAGTGGTTATATATAGCACTTAGCACAAAAGAAATAGTAGTATATGGTTTTAGCGTGTTGTCTTGGTAATAAAGTTTCTTAGTTTCAGTGGCAACTTTAATATAGTCCAGAAGAATATTTAGCTCTTGAAGTGGCTTGTTTTTAATGCTATACAGATGACTCCAGAGAAAAGTGCTGTGTCTTGCATATAGTACAGGGGTGTTTTTGTTTTCCCCCTTGGCCTTCTGACCTGTTAGGAGGAGGAAAGTTAGGCTGCATAATCTGACCTTGACATACTATCAGATTTATGGCAAGGACTGAGTCCAGTAGATTCTCTTGCTGTCTCCGCCACCTGTTGGCAGTTACTCCTGATTTAATAAATAGGACCTTGAGTTATTAGGGATTTGTGAATTGCATGGTTGTCATACAGAGAAGAGGGGATATCAGTGTGAATGCAGCTAGGAGTGGGAGGTTTTCATTTATGCTCATTGAAGAGTGTGAGGATTCTGATTTTGGCAGCTGAAACTGAAAGTGCTTTAAAACCATTTTTTGCGAGTTGTTAAGAGGATGTTTTAAAAGTCAGTAAGACTGGTATCTGTTAAATGCTTAACATTGATTTGATAGGAAATGGGGGCTGTAGTAATTACTGCGGTCTTCACCATGTTTTACTTAGGTGAACGGAAGTGAAAGGTGGTGGTACTCTGTGCAGTGTTTCTGCTTTTAAATTAATTGCTTAGATCTACTGGCTCAGTAAAGATCTGGTTTCAGTTCTTTTGTAAGAGAAGCCATAGTTCAGAAACACTCTTAAAGGTGTGTGTGGAGCACCGCTTTTATTGGCCAACTGGAGCTGTAATATTTAGCTAGAGACTGAAAAGTTTATCTAAAGAGAGTAATCTTGAGATGATTTGCAAGAAGAAAATAAACCCTTCCATTGATGGCACCTATTAATGTTATTATGGGATGGGGAGAGGAATTTAGTATCTAAAGGCCTGTAAACATGTATCTGAGGAGAATGGAGGTTTTATTTTTAACCTATAGATTTATCTGGAAAAACGTTATTGTCTGTTCCCCACTTCTTCCAGTTTTTCCCTGCTTGTAGATGGGCTACAAAAATAGTAGAATCTTTTGTGAAAGACTTACAAATTTATTTGGAGATTAAATAGGTAGTAATATTTGTAAATCTGATGCACAACCACAGTGAAATTTATCCGAGATTTTAAATCTTTCAAAGTTGTAGCCTCTGTGTTAGGCTGTGAAAATTCACTGGGTACTACTTTGGGAGGTCAGGGGAATGAGAAAACCATCATATATGGTTGAAGATAGTCTGTCATAACTTTAGATGTACCAAGGTGTAAAAATTGTATAAAGGAGTATTGAAGTATTGTACTAAAGCAGTTTTTTATGATGCCTGCTTGAAGCATATTGAGCAGTAATTCAAAGGAAACTGAGTGAGGACTGGGAATGTGGTGAGAGTATTAATCTTCTTCATGGTTCACCATAAGCCACTTGTCTGGGAAGAAGAGGTAACATGGGATATTAATCCTTCTCAAAATTAAGATCTGGGGGGAGCTAGAAAGGCTCTGAACCTCTATAGTTGTGAGATTGATACATCCAGAGCCACACTGAGAGTACTGTACAGGAGACTTCCTGCAAAATGGGCATGCAAAATCTGCCTTGTAATGAACCAAGCTGTGTCTTTTTATTAATTTTAGAGAAACAGTAACCTGCTTTACCAGAAAAGCAGAGTGGTGGTACTTGATGGAGAGATTTTGCCTGTTGTAATTATTTAGAGCCATTTAATTGATTAATATTTACTACTAATACATGATTAAAATATTTTGTAGTAGGAAAATGAGAGTTGCAATCTAAATCATTGCATAATCAATAATAGACAAACTCGTGTGGAAGATGATGAGTATTTCAGGGTGTGAAGACTTTTAGTTCTATTTTTTTTCTCCCTCATTTTAAGCCTGCCTGAAAACTATTGAATTTAATAATGTTTTTTGGTATCTCAGACGTGAACTGTATACTACCTGGCAGCTATGCTGTAGAACTGTATGAAAGGTGTGTTTTTTTAAACCTTACCTTATCTTGAACCTGATTTGTACTGTGGAGAAAGGGGCCAGATATTTTTGATTCACTTTTCTGATACATTCTTTGTATGCATTGGTATATGCCCATTAACTTTTTTTCTCACAATAACAAGTAGTTCTAGATTTTCCTTTAAGAAATATTTATATTAATCCATGCTTTTATTTCCTCTCCATTGTTTTTTTTTGCCTGTCTGAAACTGACCATTATTGATTTAAATTCTGCCTTTGCATTTTGTGTATTTTTTTGCCATAATTTTCAGATATCCTTAGTTACTATTCAGGTGTAAACAGATGTCATCTTTTAGCTCACAGCTGAGGCCCTGGCATTCTTATAGGCTTGTGTGCATATATGTATAGGGTATAGGTATATGTAAAAACAGGCATTATTTATTTTTTTTCCCAATTGAAACTAATTTCATTAATTTACATATAGTCTTTTTTAGATTTTAATACCTCCTAACCAAAGATTATTCCTGTGGGAAACTTGTTACCTCCTGTTTGGTTTTTCACAGTACAATAATTATCAACATACCTCAGATTTTTTTTCTTACTTTCATGATTTCAACATCTATACAGATTTCCCAAGTTCACTTTGGTTACATGGGATCTCATTATGTAGAATTCACAGTATAAAAATTAGGTAGCTTTAAAGAAGCTATGTGTGTTAGCATAACTTGTTCCTTTACTAATTAAACTGAAATTCACACATGTCGTATGTGGCATGATGTCTTTGTTTTATAAGGCTTTTTTACCAGATGGTCAGTGTTTGTTACATCTACTGACCTGCTTGTAAATCCAGTTCAAGCAACTTTCTAAGCCTGTTTTCATTTTCTGTCCCAGTATCTTAGTTTCCCTTTGACTAAATAGTGTACTTTTGAGATGTCTGTGCCTAAAGGATTGCAAGCTCGCCTTTTACAACTAGTCTGTTTTCCCACCTCTCTTCCAGTTCAGCAGTTCTGTCCTTGAGCTGCAGTATGTGTACAAAGTGTTTGCAAAAAGTTACATACACACCACCTTAGAAGACAAGCTGTTCTCTACACAGGACATTGTGCTATAAGCTAGGTTGTATGAATATTGTCAAATCTTGTGGTCTTTTACACCGCTTAAAATAGTTTCTGGTACCTTAGCCTTTTAAAAAGGACTTTATTTTCTTTTAGTGATCTAACTGAAGATCCTATGTTTTTTCTCCCAGCAAGGCTATTGGAAACTTGGACTTTCTATTACTAGGTGTCTTTTGCATTTCATGTGATGCCGCTGTTGTCATTATCAAACTGTCAGTTTTGGTCAGTTTTTCTTTGAGAAATGGGAATGAGGATGAGAAACTGTGTGGTCACTTAATTTGGTTGCATAAAGCCATAGTACCTAGCTCATTCTCGGTTTAGTTCTGAATGCTTCATAATACTTAAGCCAAGAAGTATAATCATGCTTCCTGAAAGCTGTGTATGTATTATTTAGGGAAGAGCAGTTTTGAGATCCTCTGGAAAAGAGTTACTTTAAAATGTTAATGTTCTTTAAGGCATTGTAATGTTTACAAGAGTTGTGTAGCCAAATTAATGCTGTTCATTCTTTTTGTCTAAATTATTAGTCTAATAGCCAGACACACTTCTAGCTCCTCCACAGAAGTCCAGATTTCTTTGTGATTCAGATTAGGGATCAGTCTCATAATTTTTTTAAGTAATATAGCTGGGTGGAGTAGGTTGTAGTTAGGTATACTAAAAGATCCAGCATTTGTTTTGGTTGGCTTTTGTAACCAAAATTGTGAG